GTTTCAGTGGTGATGTTGTTTCAGTGGAACTATACCTTTCTGTTTATCAGCAAAATGTTTTGAAATTGCTTGGCAAAATCATATATGTTATAGCTGGGTCTTTTTGAAGTAGCAAGTTTTATCATTATAAAAGCTTGCACATTCAAATAATTAAAAAATGACCTATTCTTACATTATCACAAGGTATTTCTGCATACCTAATTTAGACTTTGTCTTTAACTCATCTCACTAAATTACATACATTTTCTCCCCATCTAGTAGCATTTATTCTGTAAAAATTGAGGTCATGTGTTTGCTGGAATTCATAGTGAGGAAAAACTGGATGAAAGTAGCTCGTGTATAGTGCACACAAAGCATGTATAAATGGAATGAAATAATTTTTGTGCCTTAATTAGACCTGCATTATTATTGCTAGCATTTGTATTATATTTAATTTGTGTTGAGAAGGAAACTTGTTCCAGCTCACAATGTATTCCAGCAATACTACCTACAAGTACATAAGGCAGCTGTCTACCCTTCTGCTTCTACTTCAAAAACAATAAGCTATGTTTTGAAGCAACTTTCAGAATCCCAAAAATACATGCATTTGTCTAATATTTTGCTCTCTTGGCATCAACCATAATCTTCTGTGAGAAGTAACATGAATAACAGCTTTAAGTACCTCCATTATTCCACTTCAGCTGGGGGTTTTTCTTTTTTTTTTTAACATTTTTTTTTTCACCAAAACATGGGTGTGTGGTCATGATAAAAACTTCACTTTTTTGAGAGTATGATTTTGGGCACTTTTTCAGTTATTAAATTCATGAGCAATGACCCCACCATGTCTCTGCAGACGCTCATTGTGATGTATCAAGTATTTTAAAATGCTTTTGTACCTGCAGAGTCATGTGACAGGATTTTAGCCCTTCTATAGTAAGTGATTTCTGATAGTTCCACACTCATACGCTTTAAATTAACAGCTTTTGAAATTTAAAACAGCTTAACTGGTTCAACTGTTCACTGATTTTTTTGTAACTTCCTAACATATTTTTCTTCTACTGTCTCAAGTTAAATAATTCTTACTGATTTTTGTCTCCTGATACTTGCAAAATATATTAGCTGTTAAAATACTAAAATTTTAATTCCTACAGATATTTTCAATACTAATTATTTTAAAAACTCATTTATTCTATTGCAGTATTTTTATACCTGGTTTTATTTTCCTAGTTTCCCTCAACTAAGACTTAGACTAAGTTTTGATGATATTTCTTTTGAATATCTGTCTGCATATTCTTCACAGTGTGGTTGCTTTTTCTATTCTATATTCTAAGAACCATATTTTCCCTAGTCAACACTTCCCTTTATGGTTTACCTTTTATAATGGGATTCACAAGTTTCTGCTCCTCATTTTCAAGATTTTGTACAACCCTCTTGTGCATCATGTATCATCTCTCTTCTTAGCCACCCTCACTCATTGTGGTAGATTTTCTAAATTTCAGTTGCTCTTAAGAATGTCTCCATTTTACTGGCTTTTATTTTCCCTAAGCTACACAGTAATGTTTGAGACATTTTCACTTCATGTTCCTCAAGCTCTTTCAGTTACATTACTTCAAGGGGCTTGCTTGGTCCATGACAGGAACAGGCTTTTTTGGATTTTATATGTTATTTTAATTCACTGCACCATGAAGTCAGTAGAAGACTACCACCTTTAAGCCTCAAAGGTGGCCTAGCAGTGTCAGGAAAACCCCATGTGTATTAGGTCACCTTGAAGGATGCATCATATTTTCCTGCCAGCCTGATGTCACCCAGATAGGCTGGTTTATACCTCACAGTGCCTTGTGCTGTTCCTAGGCATTGTTCTGCTCATCACCATAGCCATGCTCTTGCCAGTTCAAATGTATCAGAGTGACAGTGACACACAGTGAATGATTTCAATTGCCTTGCAATACTTGAAGGGCACCCATAAAAAAGGTGGGGATGGACTTTAGCTTTATCTGACTTTATCTGTTGAGCTAGGACAAGGGATAAAACTGAAGGAGGTATTAAACTGAAGGAGGGTCAGTTTAGATGAGATGTAATGAGGTTTTTTTACAGTGAGGATGATGAAACACTGGAACAGATTGGCCAGAGAGTTGGTGGATGCTCAATCCCCAGAAACATTCAAGTCCAGGTTGGCTTGGACTCTGAGAAACCTGGTCTAGTTGAAGATGTCCCTGCTCATTGCAGGAGGGTTGGACTAGATGACCTTTAAAGGTCCTTTCCAACCCAAGCCATTGTATGGCTCTATGACCTTAATTGCTTTGGTTGTTGTTTACCTGGGGACTTTATAGCTGTAGAATAGATTGTCTTCTGACATAAATGTTTTGAGCACAATCCACAGCATATCCGATAGATAGATAGATAGATAGATAGATAGATAGATAGATAGATAGATAGATAGATAGATGTATATTCAGTCTATATTCTATCCCTTTATCTGTGGTGGTGGGCTCCTCTGACCTACTGTGTTATCCATGGTTGGGAGGAGTCAAATCTGATCTTTGATCTCCAAAGGAAGATCTCCAGAATTTAAATAGGAATACGAGCTAAGTAGATACTTTAGTCTGGCTTCCTACAAACATGTATTTCTGTTCATTGCCAAGTTGTATAGGAGTTCAATGATAGATGTTTTATTCATCATAAATTCACTCTAGAAGGTTTCTTTCATTTCTCTTGCAGGTTTCTTCTGCAGTTATTTTTCTATGATCTCTTTCAGTGAATACTGAGCAGAGAGGTAGCATTGCTAAGTCATTACTTTGACCGAGTTACTGCAGTTTTAGAACTGTGTTAGTTAACATGGCCCTTGTTGTCCTATCACTTTTTAAACGGAAGATCCCACTGAAGTTGGTGTGAACTTTTACCTCAGTTTCAATATCAGGATGTGGCTCCTTGTACAGGGGAGTCCTCCCTGCCTAGTTACCAATTGTACACAGCTCTCCTCCCTTTCCTTGAAGATAAATCTCCTTATCTGGTTCCTTTTTCTTGACAATAATATTGTAGAGAGAATAAAAAGAATAAAAGTACTCCTTGGATAAAAATGTTGGCTATTAATTATCACTATTGTGCAGTTACATTCTTGTGTAATTCTTATCCCCTTGGAGCCTTATTGTACAGATACGTGAGGCTAAGTATTTCCTCCCCCATAAAATGGACATTACAGGTTTTCATCTCATTCCCCTGCATAAAGTTGTCACTTAAATGAAAAATTAACAAAACAAAATTCCACCTCTTCCTGAATTCCCAGAATTTCTTTACAGAATTAGAATATTGCTAACAGTTAGAACACTGCCAGTTCCACACTACCTAGATGAGAAAGTAAGGAAGAGTTACAGAAGTCACATTGATATGCTGCTTTATGAGTTTGTATATGTATAAGCTACATAACTTGCACTGTAATTAACTTACCGTGATATCATTTGTTGGACACAGCATTCTCATGCCTATTTTAGTTCCATAAACTTATGGTGAAAGATGGAAATGGTGTGCATCAGCTTTGTAAAAGATCCTACATCTTATCATGTTTGCATTATAAACTGAGATAGGAGAAACATCTGATAGTGAAATACTGTCAGAGATATACTTTTAGCTTCAGTGTTTGGAAGTGGAGAAATGTTAGAAATGGAAAAGCTCTTGAAGCGACCACTTCTTTTTAAAATTGGAGTCAGACTACATTCTAATCAACTTAAAACATTACTTGAAGATGTATGAGCTAGTAGCTTTGGAATGCCTATTTGCCTTCTCAAGTTTATATTGGGAATTAGGAATCATAAACAAATTTGTTAAATTCATTTCTAGAAATCTGGGTACTTTAAAAAATCGTGATTGTCAGGGCGCCTCAATTCACCCTTATTGGGTCAGTATGGGTCAATATATGTAATTGATTCTAAGTAAGGTGTTTAAATTTGACCAAAGATATAACTCATGCTGAAGCAATACATGAGTCTGAGTAATTTTAAAGATATTAAAACTTTAATATTTCAAATTCTTAAATGAACACAAAATGTAAGTTGAATTTTGTTACACCCTGTAAGGATATGCAATATAACGTGCAAAGCTTTTTTTTTTTAATTATACAATGCAGAACTGTTATATATTCTTCACTGATTACATTGAAAATGATTTCACATTTCTTGTTGCTATAATGGAAATTAGATTGCTTCCTCAAAGTAATTTTTTTAATTGTGTTCCAAGGTGACTCATGAAGTAAAGGGTGAGTGGGGAGAATGACTGTTCTAAGTTGTTCTGAGATGTTATTTGAAGGCTTCATGATTATATTGTACATTAATCAGATGTAAAATTAAAGCCCCAAAGCATCAGAACTGTTCTGTGATTTGATCTGTGACTGAAAAAGGCAGATCCTCACACTGAGTTCGGAAGGAAGGCTCACAATTCAAGGATATATTCAAAACACTCAAAGCTCCAGTGCCTGTTCAGGAGAGAGAGAGAGAAAAGAGGCACTAAAGTGTTTTCGAAAGCCAAGACAGATATGCAGAGGAAGCAGCACAGGGCTGGTTCTTAGGATCCAGCGAACATAAGGCCTTCTGCTATATTTAGTTCCCTTCCCCTGCCTTCCCCTCCCCCTTCAGTGCCTATATTTGAATTTGAGTTGCAGAGTAAGTTGTCTTTCATTTAAAACAACTATTTTTGTCATTTTTTTTATGGCATCCTAACTTAACAAGATAAATCACTTTTCAATGAATATTGCAGTTAAATATTACTATGCTTAATTAGTGCTGACTTACCTCTTATTTTCCAATGGATACGGCCTTTATATGATGGAATGTGATTAATAATTATTGTTGGTGATTTTTCTTGCATCTTAATATAACATTGAAAGAATTCTTAGGAATAGCCAATTCTTCTTATTAGAAATAAATGCCTTGTCTTTCCATCTGGATCTTTGGTCTAGCCGTACTTCTATAGAAAAATAGAGGATGAAAATAGCTCTGAATGTTATATTTATTTTACTTTTGTATTTTCAGGGTTTGCTGGAGGGTCCCCAAGGTCCACCTGGCAAAGAAGGTCAAAGGGTGAGTAAACTTGGTGAACAACTGGTGAGTGTGCTAACAGCTTGATGTGTGACTTCTGCCTAAGCACCAATAAAAAATGGTAAGGTAGCAGCTGAGTATGAGGCATGCTGACAACAAACTGAGCCTTGACACTTGAGGTTTCTTTTCAGTTGAAGGAGATTTAACAATTTCAACCATCTAAAGTGTTTTGATGACTGGCAGCACAGATGTATTGTGTTTTGTGCAGTGTGTTTCTGCTGTAATTTTAACTGAAATAGTATTAAAACTTGTTCTTTTTCCTTTTTTAGCAGAAGTGAACTATGCTTTACAACATCTAAGATATAAAGATATGAATTTAGGGTCATTTTCTATAATATTAACAGAAACCAGTACTACTGTACTGACCCAGGTCTTTAATACCATTATGCAAGTGTCAGTGCCTAACATACATGTACAATGGATATGATACGGTAAAGGGGGCTAGAGGGACAGAATATGCCAAATGCATATAAAACTTTTGTTATTTAGAATTTTAATATAATTAAATAATTGAGTCTGACTGGTTTCTCCATGTTCTGTTTTTATTTTCCCTGAATTACTGAATTTGATAATTCATTAGAATAGATAACAAATATTTATGATTGTGGTATCACAAGAATTAATTCAGTGTTGTAAATATATAATCTAGTATGTTCCTAAAAGTTCAGGAAGATATTAAGACTCAGGCATTTCAGTATTTTTACAAATAAAGTGTGTGCCCTGTTTGCAGTTTTGAAGTTGAGTCTCAATAATTCCTGGTTTATTTAGGCATCTTGATACTCAATATCTCAGTTGAAATATCTGAAGTAAAAAGATTTAGTTTTTCCCATCATTGATCCTAGTAAACTACAGGGAGTTTTTAAAGGCTAATTTAATGATTCTGATAACAGTAATAAAACTAACAGAAGACTAGCTCTTGAACAAAATGAGTTATGATGTGTAGGCCCCAAAGCTATGCTCTATACTGGTTTTTAAGTTTTAAAAAGAGTACTAAATTCCATTTAAGCTGAACATGAAGATGTGAAAGCTGAATTTATTTATGTTTCTCACTAAGGATTGAGAACCTGTTCAGAAAAAGTCAGTGTAGTAATGGAGAATTAAAAGCTGTGTGATGAATATGTTATTAAAGCACATTTACTAGCATATCATGTCCTTATTAAGGATTTTATAATTACCGTGGCTATTACAGTTAGGCAATTAAATATATAGGATACTGTGAGAAGATACTTGTATCCCCCTTTAGCATATTTTAGAGTTGTTCTGTGGAGTATTAAATCTGCAAAAAGACAGATTCTCCTTTAGGAACAGTTAAAAACATTGTCATGTCTTAGAAACTTCACTTGTAGAACTTTTTCATTTTTTTTATGCAAAAATTCAGTTAACACACTGTATTATATTTAATGGTAGATAAATGGGCTTGGAAATACTTTAAATTTTTTCCAGTTTGCAGTAGTAATTAGTGGGTTGGTACTTTCATTGTGGAAATTTTCCTACTCACACATAAAATTGAGCTGCTGTCACACTCCAGCCTCTATAAAAATGGGAGCTCTGATGGTTTTGTAATCTCGCCATGCACACAGCTGCCTTGAGCCAAACGATGGGAACAGCAGACTGGAGCCTCAGCATCTGTCTTTATCTTTCTACCACTGAAATGCTCACAACAATACTCCTTCTGCTGACCACTCCCGCCCAAGCATTAACAGCATTGTTGGCAGTCTTAATTCAACTCCCATGTGCTTTTGCATTTCCAATACATTTAATTACACAATAGCATACCAGTTGTAACAAGATCTCTGCTCTGTTTAATGACAAACAGGACAGTGCACATCTAATGGCTATTAAATGCTCCTTTTTATTCAATTATAAACGTCATGTTCCTCTGTTCCTCTTTCAGCAGATCCTCCAAATCTTTCACATTATATGAAGTTATTGCTTTCCTTGTGGTCTGTCTTTTGAAGATTAAAACATATTATTGAGTGTGTAACTAGCTAATAAAATTTTTTCCAACATATTATTCAGACCTAAAAGCGATACTCTGTCCATTATGAAGACTGGAACTGTAACACATTAGGGAAAAAAAGCCACTCCAGAAACACCAGTAAATATCTGTTCAATTAGGATGCCACACTTTGAGAACATGAACTTTTATTTTAAATTGCTACTCATACAGTACTTGCTATATTCAAAATTTAAATTCCCACCTACTTCTTGAGCATTTTTAAGTGTTCAACACGTTTAAAAATTGGTCTTAGATTGATAAGGAGTTGAGAGGACAATCATATAGTATGTAACTAATAGACCTGGGAATACACATTGAATCAAGGAACTGAGGAGAATTAACAGTGTTAATGGTGATATTAAAGAAACATATAAAAGGCTCAAGATAGAGCTAGTAGTGACAGGTAAATGGCAATAGAAAATGAGTAGAAAAGCAAGGAAAACAGTATTAATTTTCATTTTCAGAGCATTTTAATTGAGGTTTTATTATATCAACTCAGATCAGGGTTCAATATTAGAACTACTAAGGAATACCAAACATGCCTTGTCCTAGAGTGGGCTCCCATATCCCCATCATCAGTAAAGATGGAACTCAGAAAATTATACCCTTACTGAGACGAATAAGTCTGAGTAGTATTTCTTTCACCTCACAGGAATAATCTGCACAAAAAGTTACATCATAAAAATATATATAATTATTATAGAAATACAATAAATGTTGTTGTTATTATAATAAATATAAAAGCAGCTGAACTGTAGTTTTTGAGTTCAAAGTTATGTCAACCTTAAAATGCTTATTGACATATACCTCAAATTGTCTTAGAAATGCAAATTTACATCATTACTTAATTAGATTAAGTCAATAGTTTAATTATTTCAAGTGTAAAGGGGGATCAGTACATTTTTTCAAATAAGATGTAGCAGCTTTTTTTCTGATAGATGCACTGTAGACAGAGTTACTGGTGTCATTTGAGCCCATGCATGATTATTAAAATACTGAATATGTCACTGTATGTGCCTTTGATATATTATACTGTATATATATAATATAGTAATAGAGTATATTACTACTGTATGGTCATAATGGGTTATCATCTTACTCCCACATCAAAGATCAGTTTTGGTTCTTACTTGTTTAAATGATGGTCAGCTATGGAAATTGACGACAGAAGTATATGAAATATCTTCTATCTTAGTTGGTCTCCCTGGATGCTTTCCAGATATCTGAAAAAATTAAAAGGTTTGCAGAAAGCAGAACACTAGAGTGATATGATTAGAGAAACTTAGTGTGGGAAGATCTTTCAGAAGGAGAGAGATGTAGCCCTGAAAATTCTTTGACTAGTTTTATGCAGCATTAAAGGACCCTGTATCAGGATGCCCAGGTTCTATTTTTTGGCTTTATTTAACAGAAAATTGCAAATTTGCAAAAAATTTCAAATAATGAAGTCATTGAGAACAATTAGTATGATGATAAGTATAAATTGGATTCATAATCGTATTACTTCTCTCATACTACTCTAGTAGCAAAATGCATAAATATTTATTTTCTGAATAAACAAATGGATTAGTAGTCTAGCATTTATAAAGAGTATTGGTTGTGTCTCTAAGAGTAGATTCATGACTTCCCATTCTTTCCTCACTTACTGTGACACCTTTCCCTCTCATTTCCTTTATTATCTCTTCTCTTTGTGGATGTGACTGGTTTATGCAGGAGAGCAAACTTCATGAACAATGGCTACAAATAATGATCTTCAGACTTATATGTCTTGTTTCCTTTGCGCAGTACTTAGGAGGGAGCAACAGAGTTTTAAGATCAAGTGAAGGCATCTGTTTTCAGTTTCGCATGGTTTACTACCATGCTTCATGTACACAAATGAAACTTCACAGAATTTTCAGTATCTCTGCAAAAAATCTTACAAGATATTCAATAATTCATGATATGTTGTCCATCCTTAATTAGACTGTTACTCTGAAGGCAAAAGTAATTGTCATGGCAGAAGACATCATAACCTGGTTACATCACAACCTGGCCACATTCAAAGAGTGCACAGTGAACTTATTTCTGATTGTTCAGTCAACCTGAGACTTATACAATACTCATTTAAAGGGTTGTCATAATGTCATCAGTGAATGTAGTTAAATTTTGTGTGAGTATGTAGTGCCCTTGTGTTTCTCCTTTTGCCAAGATACCCACTGCCACTCACCACTCACATTTGTTGTTTTCCTGTGGGCTCAAGGAGTCTTCAAATGTTTGCTCTTCTTAAAAAAGTCTAGTGTTTCTTTTTGCTCTACAAGTAGTGACTTCATGTAACATTTTTTAAGGTTTTTGATCCTTAATGATTTGTATTAGACATGAGACCTTACTCAACAGGAGCTTTGGGTTTTAGTTCTGGTCACTGAAAGAAATGGGCCAGTAGAAACAGCTACTCATTCCTTTTCCCTCATTCCTGCATGAGAAATACTAGACTACTCTGTGGGCAGGCACTATGTTCAAACATAACTTTTTCAGTGCCCATCATGTTGTCTTCAGGCATGTTACTGCTGCAGCAACTTGATACTATTATACAACTGCTCAGAATGACATCAGGGGCTTCAGAAGGTAATTACACATTACTCAGAAAAGTCCCTGGTCCAATATTACCAACCCACAGGCAACAGTGAGATTGGGTACTAACCTAGCATTACATGGAATTTAAACCACAGTGGACTCCTGTGCCATCTCCTGGATTCCTGTGTTATGCAGAACTATTATTTTTCTCAGTAATCCTGTACTTTATAGGTAAGCTAATCTTTTGCAGAAGTCCAGTTTTCACTTCAAAGAACATCAAGAACAGACTCTTTGCAAGTCTCCTTAAATTCTTTCTTCCAGTGTTTCTTGTCAATCACACATTTCAAGATATGTGTTTTATTTTACACTGGGTCTGTAGCTAATCCTCCATTAGCCGCCAGCAAATGGGTATCTTAATGTCTTCTTTGTATTGAAG